GGAGGGGAGAAGGGGGGGATGTAAAAATCGACAATACCAAGTGTAGACAAGGATACAGAGCAACTGGAACTCTTACACATTGCTGATGAGAATGCAAAAACAGTACCATCACTTTGGAAAACAGTTTAGCAGTAGCTTATAAAATGAAGAATACACTCTACTTATGACCCATCAACCCCACTCCTAAATATTAATCCAAAGGAAATGAAAACATGTTTCCACAATAATGTGCATACTAGTGTTTTCAGTGGATTTACTCATAATCACCAAAAAATGGCAAACAACCCTAACATCCTTCAACTGGTGAATGGATAAACTGTGATACATCCACACAATGGAATAATACTTAGAAATAATAAACAATGCACTACCAATACTCAGAATAACATAGGTGAATCTCAAATGCATTATGCCAAGTGAAAGAAACCACATTCAAAAAACTACATAGTGTATGACTGCATTTACATAAAATTCTGGAAAAGGCAAAATTATAGGGATAGGAAACAGATCTGGTGACTGCCAGGGACTGGTGTGTGTAGGGGGGAGGTACTGATTACAAAGGGGCATGAGGAAATTTCTTGGAGCAGTAGCAATGTTCTGTATCTTGCTTATGGTGGTGGTTATACAACTGTGAGCATTTGTTAACACTCGTAGAACTACAGACTAAAATATGTACATTTTATCATATATAAATTATGCCATAATACAACTGATTTAGAAAGAAATAAAAGAGAATCAGTGTTTCTATCAGATAAGTTCTAAAGGAAGAAAGAAGCCCCTTCAAAAGAAACAAAAGCCCACAAGTTTTTTTCCCTATAATTGATGTCTTTCTGAACCCAAAAACGATAAGAGTGATTCATAGGAAAATCTGAACAAGAAAACTGATAGACTCAACCTCTGATTTCTCAGGGAACACAGGCTTTCAGTTCAGAAACAACATAAACTCTATGATTTGGACAAGTGTAAAAATGAAACAAAGATTTTTGTGTAAACAGAGGCAAATATAAACATCCATTTTAACTCTTACACTTACAGATCTTGAAAATTATCAGTAAGATGGCATATTTTATATACATACAATACATACAAATCATCTCTGTATGTATATTCATTAAAGGTTATTTCTCTAATGTTTGATTGTGCTTTACAGATTAGAATGTACCATTACATTCTAATATGGCTGCCTAGAGTTAAATTACTACCCTGTGAAGTTGAATTCCAAGTTCATTATAATTTCTGCAGAAGACAAAAGAAATTAACTTATGTACCTTGTGTACCTTTCCATTTTTATTTTTTGTGAAATATTATTATTTAACATATCCTAAGAGGTAGTATCAGGAATCATATTTAAAACAAAATTCAACTTACAAAAAATTTAACATTATTTACATCAATTTTTCAGGGCCTTTTTTCATTTGTATATTTGTACATCATTTCTACATATAGTAACAAAATACATGCAGAAAATAATTCTTTAAATAATTAAATTTAGAAAAGACATGAAAATTAAATTCTCAAAATTAAATCATTAAAACTTTAAAATTAAACATTCCATCAGAAGTCAACATTCAAAATTCTACTTTAAATACTACATAGTCTATACCCAACTCAAATCCTCTTCAGATTTGGATTTCCCTATTAAAACTGCGATAAGCAAAGCACACAAGCACACAGCTCCAATTACCAGAATCTCGGTGCCTAGAATCAGTTTTAAGGTAGAGAAGCATTAAGGACAGAATTAGTCAGCATTTGCTCTAAAGATCTAACTAACTATGGCTTGATTGCAAACTAGGCTAAAAATTTCAAAGGGACTGCTAAATGTGTGGCCTAATAATCCAATGCCCCTTGAAATCTATACTATCTTATTTCTGTAGATTCATTAATGCTAAAATGATTCCAATAAACTGATAGATTTTATTTGTAATTTCACTTAAAACAGCAAAGCAATATTTCAAAATCTCTTGGTTGTGGGGTGGTTCTTTTCCTCTTTACAGTGGTAGGTTGTGTTAATACAACCATTTTTCTTTTATTGTTCACTAATGAGACAATAATTGCCATCACAATCCTACTGAGAATACAGACTTGTAAATATAATAGGCCTCAGGACAGGTTTTACTGCATGATTCTCAGATACATTTTGTTCTGCGTGAATACATCAACAACAAAATATTTTCTTTTCTGTGGAATATAAACTGCATATTTTCAGAAATGTGCAAACAGAAGAAACAAATTTAACTAGGTAGATTTCAGGTTCTTCTTTCTAGTAACTAAGTGGAATAGCAATGAATAGAATATTCCCTTTTATCAGAAACCTGTTAACCTTTCATTAGAAACCCTAAAAAGAGGCTATTTTAAAGTTTTTAATATTTGAAATAGAAACGTAACTGTCAGCATCAGTATGAGTTGTAATGTACTATAATATAAAACTACACACTCCACTTCAAATAAGGGTTGAATATGAAGAAAATTTACAGGAAGGTATTTCAATATAATGTTGGCTGACACCACTACCTTCAAAGTTTACTTAGGGTATAAAGGTTTCTAGGAATATATTTTAAATAATATCTTCCAGTGATATATTTTAGTTGATGAACTATTTACATTTGGCAATTATCGTCCTTTGAGACTTCAGGTACTTTCCTGCTCCTAAATATGGTAGGTATCATTTATCACTTATCATTTAGCAGGGAATTTACCAAAGTTTCAGTTTCCCATTCTTATATTGTAATCTTTACTAAAGTCCAAACGAAATGTAAAGTAAAAACAGTACCTTTCATGATGTCCCAAATCTGACAAAAATTCATCTACATGTCTTTGGAGTTCATTTCCTTCTAAATTCTTTAATTTCTTCAATTCACTTTGTAGAAAAAACCAGAGCTCTTTAGCTCCATTTTCAATCCTCCTCCTTAGGATTTCATGATCCTTCCCCAGACCTGCAGTCAAAGAATAGAGAGTACCGGCATTTCCAACATTTTGATGAAAGGAAATTTTAAATTATTTGTGCTAATATCAATATATAGAAGAGGAAAAACACTGTATAATCACCTACCATTTCTAGTTTGTTTCTTATAACTTTCAATCTGTTCTTTGGCCTTCACAAGCTGCTCTTCTAAAGCACGAACCCTTCCAGAAGCTGGCCCCTGATCGGGGCCTTCTGGTATCCTATAATTCGGGGAAGAAAATGTAAACGTTTTGCTTATAAATAATGCAACAAAATACAAGCTTACTAAGGTTACATGCTAAAACATATTTACTGGTAACTCTAGAAGTCACTGAAACATAAATATATTAGATGTGCCAAGTAAAATTTTCTTTCCAAAGGTATAGGATAAAGCATAAACACTGTAATGATACTGAACAAAAAGAGAAAAAATTAATCTAGCTCAGAGATCTGTGATCTTCCAGGAATTAAGCAACCCTTAGAACTGTCTCCTAAAAACTCTCATCATACGAGTATTACTTAGAAAAACAACCATCAGTGGCAAAGAGGTCAATTCTCTATTAGTGCTGAGAATAACAAAGGCAAAGAGGAGGGTGATGAAAAGGCTTAAGGGGAATAAGAAAGCAAGAATCTCAACATGTGTCTCTGTTAAAATATCAAATACAAATTATTTCTAAATTAATCATAATATCAGGCTATGTAAATCTGTGTTCCAATTCCTGAACTCATGACCTTGGATTACTAAGCATTGGTTTTACAGAGAAGGGAAAGACAAAGAGCAGAAGATGAAGTACATCAGAAAAAAACCTGATGATTAATGATCTGTTTGTTTCTAACAGAAACAAAAAATATCAATCAACAACATAAAATACTGGAACACAGCAGAGGAACTCCAGGATCTCTTGTTTATATTGTACTGGTTTCTAACACGTTTTGTTTTTATGTGACTTTTGGCATTATCCTGTACTCCACTGGTCATAAAAGATAACGTCCTAATTCTGGAACCTGTAAATGATCCCTTATATGACAACTGAAACTTTCAATGTGTGATTAAGTTAAGGATCTTGAGGTGAGGAGACAGTCTTCCATATTCAAGTCAGCCAAAATTGTAATCACAGGTGTTCTTATAAGGAGGCAGAGGGAGAATTTACTATAAAAGAGAAAGTGATGTGGCTATTAGCTTTGAAGATGGTGAAAGAGGTCATGAATAACAAATACAAGGAATATGTCATTAGAACCTGGAAAGGCAAGGAAACAGATTCTCCCCCAGAGTTTCCCTAGGGGATGTGGCCCTGCTAACACATTGCTTTGAGCGCAGTGAAACTCATTTCAGACTTCTGCCCTTTCCAAATGTAAGAGAATAAATTTCTATTGTTTTAAGCCCCAAAATTTGTGGTACCTATTGCAGCAGCAATAGGAAACTAATAATACATACACATAGATTATTGTAAAGATTAAATAATGGCTAATTTTTCTTCCAAAATTTATTTAAATGAGAAAGTATATAATAGTACGCAGCACAGTGTCTGTCAATAAGCTTTATCAAGACTACTGTATTTGGGCTCAGTCATTTTAGAGATGAGCTATAATCTAAAACGTCTAGAATATCTATTTTAACCATCACAATCATTAAGGGAAACTAATTTTTAAATTATACTTGGCAGAACTTCAATTCAAACGTCAACTTAGTCCTTTTATGCAGACTCTAATACAGATTTTTAAAATACTTTTTCTAACATTTTTTTACAACAGATAAAGCCAAACTATTAATTACCTGTTACACTTCCAAATACATGTTTAGTAAGAAAGCTCTTGTTATAGCTATACCAGAGTAAATAAGGTATGCTGTGATTTTGCGTGAAATTATATGCATTAACATTGAACAGAAGCATGAAAAATCACCATGATCCAATCATGAGTGTCCCAGGCTACAGAATTTGAATTAAAAAGCTTTCATTTTTATATCCACAAAGTGAATAATGATAAAATGAATAGACTTGTTGGGTGCACAATTACCCAATTTATGAACACAAATGTGTATACATTCATAAATGAGGCATTTCCTGGTATATAGTTTTTAAAACTTGGCTCTTAATCTCTTTCTGAATTAGATAGCTGGCTTCTAAGAAATAATTTGAAAACAGAAAAAAACTATCACTTCTTGGAACTTATTTTGGGAGCAGTATGCCACAGAACAAGGATGTCCTTTTGTAGAATACACTTTAGTGATACAAAATTTCAGACAATAGAAAGATATGTCTAAGTTCTCTTTTACCTCATTTCTTCATACATTGATGGAATAACATTAGGGGAAAATAGGCATGAAAAAATTCATAAGATCTTTTCAGCAGATTTCCATTAAGTATTAAATACAATATAATGCTAATAAAACAAAAATGTATTAGTGATTTATATTACATTATTATATACAATGATCTAATTCAACTGTGGGTAAACTGTAGATAAAGAAAAGTAATGGAGAAGCCAATGTAAGAAGAGCACACTATAAGGACTATTCTTTCTATACCCCAGTCAAAAGAACTAATTTGTAAGAACAGCCTTTTCATCTGAATATTTGGGAAACTTGAAATTTTTTAAAAATCATATTCACTATACAAAAGATATATAGGACATCTTCTGGTTAAGATGAAATAACAGAGATCAGATTTACCATTATGCTTGAAACAACTGAAAATCTAGACAAAACACATGAATCCATCGTTTAATAAAACTAGAATCCGGAGACTTACATCAGAAAGATGGCAAAATAGGTGGTTCCCAAATTTTGGTCCCCCTCAGGGGAGGGGCAACTAGCAACTATCCATAGATGATACCTTTATAAAGCTCCCAGGACACAGGGGTAAGATTCAAGCATGCCCTTGAACCACAAAACCCCAGAAAAACCACATTAGACAGGTAAGAAGAGCAGTTTCACTTTGCCCACACTGTTCCTCCTCCAGGTCAGCACAGTGCTGCAGGGAGGGAGTGTCCCAGGACCTACAGTTTCTCTCGTGGGAAAGAGAGTGCAAGGTGGATATCAAGCTTCCCCAGCATTCTGGATGCTCCCTGAGAGGCCCACTTAGTACTGCCTCATGGGGATTACTGAGAAAGTCAGCTAGAGACACAGGAGGGGTGAGGGGCTCACAGCAGCAAGTGCACAGATCTTGGAATACTGTGTTTCTGCTAGTGGTGGGGCCTGAGCGGAGATCCTAACGAGCAGCCCTGATCATTTGCAGAGCTGAGCTAGTGGTCCCAACTGGCCAGGGAGTTTGGTTGACAGTTCTGCCTGATTTCGGTACCCAGCCTGAGGGCAGTCTTGGTGGAGGCGCTCATTCTAGAGCTCCACCTAGACAGAAAAGCAAGGCAGCAGGGCCTACTCAACTCAATTGATGAGCATAGCCTCCAGCCCCGCTAGAGGACGAAGCCTGGCCTGAGACGCAGGGCAGCCATGTCGCACATCCTACAGCCTAGCAAGTAGGGAACCAAATCACTGGCCACATCTACCTGCTGAGCACAGCCTCCAGCCCCTCCCAATAGGGAAGCCTGGCCAAAGATGCCAAGCAGCCGCACAGCACATCCTACGGCCTGTCTGAGCAAGAAAGCAAAGCAATAGCCCTACCTAACTGCTAAGTTTAGCCTCCAGTTCCATCTGACAAGGAAGTCTGGCCAGGGACCCAAGGTTACCACAGAGCCTTTCTACAGCCCCTTTCAGGTAAAGCCAAGCCAGAAATACCACCCAACTACTGAGCATAACCTCTAGCCCCGCCTCACCAGGCTGCCCAACCAGAGACCCTGGACAGCTCTGAAGCCCATCCTATAGCCCAGGGGTCGGCAAACTGCAGCTTGTGAGTCACATGTAGCTCTTTGGATACATTCCGTCTCAAAAGTTTGCCGACCCCTGGAAGAGCCAATCCTGTCCCTGACAACAATTTAAAAATTATTTGAGAGTCATAAATATATTTTTACATAATCACCATTATGTGAATAATATCCTTTAAAAATTTATAAAATTTTATAAATTTTTAAAGGATATTACGATAGTTTTATTTTCATTTTCAATTTTACTTCACAGCCTGTGGCTCACGGAGCTGCAGTTTGCTGACCCCTAGCAGCTCTTCCGTCTTAAAAATTTGCCACCCCTGCTATAGCCCCACTCAAGCAGAGAGCCAAGCAGCCTTGTCCAACTACAAAGCATGACCACTGGCTCCGCCTGACCAGGGAGCCCAAACAGTGACCCCGGGTAGCCTCAAGCCCCAGTCTACAGCCGTGTCCAGCAGCACAGCACAGCTTACAGACTCATCCAATTGCCGAGCATAATTTGTACTCACGCAGGCACAGAATCCACCCAGCCACCCCACCTAATCTTTTTTTTTTTTTTTTTAAGATTTTTTTATTGGGGAATTGGGGGGATGGGAACAGTGCTGGGGAATTGGGGAAAGGGGAACAGACAAGTTGCTGTCGTTTTGTTCTTCAATCTAGTTGTGGAGGATGTTGCTTCACTGGCCCAAGTTGGCACCATCAATGCGCTCTTCCCGGGCGAGGCAGATCAGTCGCCGGCTTCTGGACGGCCGCTCACTGCGGCTGCTGGCCGCTCACGCTGGCTGCTGGCCACACACGGTAGCCCATGGCAATCCACTGCCACAGGGACTGCAGCCCATGCCGTCGCCGGCGACTCACGGCAGCCCAGCTCCAGGTTGAGCTGTTGTTCAGCATCTTAGCTGTGGAGGGCAGTGTCACTGGCCCTCATATGTGGGATCCGAACCGGGGCCCTCTGGCGTCCCAAGCGAGTTCTTAACCATCGCGCCACTCGGCCGGCCCCACCCCACCTAATCTTAATGCATAGCCTATGGCTCCACCTGACCAGTGAGCCCAGAAAGCAACCCAGCCCAACTGTGAAGCACAACCTCCAGGCCCACTCAACCATGGGGGCACAGCTGGCAACCCTGTCTGACTAGGAAGTCCAGTAAGAGACACTGTCAAACAGCAGAGCATAGCCAGAAGCTTGCCCCATTGCAGAGCACAGCCTGCAACTCTGCCCAAACTTGAGGCACAGTCTGCAGTCCCATGTGATCAAAGGGGCACAGCCTGAGACCCGATCTGATCATAGTATAGCCTTGACTGGATGTAGAATCCAGTCAACAACCCCATCAAGCCAGGAGACATAGTTTGGGGCTCCACCTGACCAGAGGTAATTGCAGAGCCCAGCATATGGCCCTGCCCA